ATGTGGACACCAAAAATTCTGCACACACTCAAAGTGTGTATAGCGTTGTGTATAGAAATAACGAAATAACAGCGTTATTCGGACCCGAACCAAATTCAAAAATATTTCAACACATGATGTAATTTGGGGCGGGAAATGCGATGGTGACCTTAAAACATTATGCGGACGACTACATAACGGCGTATGTCTACCTAACGTGAATGTGCAATTATACTTTTGTCTAACATGCGCATTCTCTCTCTCTCTCTCTCTCTCTCTCTCTCTCTCTCTCTCTCTCTCTCTCTCCCTCTCTCTCTCTCTCTCTCTCTCATTTTATACCCCTGCTTTCGCCATACCCACCCCCTCCCCCACTCACACACACACACACCACTGTAAACATTTTAATATAATGTGAAAGAGCTGAAATATGGTAGTGTCAAGAAACAATATTATGATTAAAGTATGATGGAAGTTACAGAGTTAATAGAAACTGGCTTGAACGGCATAGAAAAAGAAACACTACTAGAGTCTATGCTAGAAAACAAACTGAAAATGAGAAGCACAATAAACTGCTGCCACACATAATATCGACGTGCACTCGACCTGTTTAGGTACCACAAGTGAATTTTTTTTTTTTAAGAATACCAGAACAAGACTATACTTTCCATATAGTGCTCAGTGAAACAAGAACTATGAAAAAAGAATTATCAAAATCCATCAACAAACACCTGAGATAAGATGTTTCAAATATTTGTTGCACTTGTAAAAATCGTGACGTGTGCGCAACTGGCTCACAATGCTGTTTCGTGGTCACACTACGTGAAAACCGGTCTTGAAAATCAAAAATGATTTAGGCCCTATATATTCTTAGACAAAAACACACAAATTTAGCGTAAAAGAAATTAAAATATAATTCATGTAGCTATTGTAGTGATTATAGTAGTTCAAACGTGAAAGAAAGCATAAAAATAAAGTTTAAAAATGGATGCCAATGGCTTGGAACCCCATTTTCCAAGATACATAAAATAAACATTTAAGGCTGGATAGCTATCAAAATGCAAATCTCATAAGATATAGATACCGAGACTTTACTCAATTTTTTTTAAAGGGTTAAAACTTAAATAAAAGAGAGATATAGTCGTATCCAAGGGTATGCTGGCCAAAAATGCCTTAGGGGAAGAAATCAACGACAAAATTGCAGTTTGAGGCTATTTTTTAGTAAGTCATAAAAAATCAACTAATTATGCTAGACAGATGTCAAATATACCACTGGAAAGCTCATTCAAAGCTCTATATGAAAAAAGTAGTAGTAACTGTATCAAGACTGGGTACTGAATGCTGCTACAAAAAGTAGGCACACTTTGAAAAATTAGCAGTGTTCAACTAAACATGATACGACTTTTCGAAAATTCATAAAAAATCAATTAATTATGTTAGACAGATGTCAAATATACCACTGCAAAGCTCATTCAAAGCTCTATTTGAAAAAAAGGTAGTAGTAGCTGTATATCAAAACTGGGCACGAAAGGCTGTTACAAAAGGGTAGGCAACAATTCTGAAAATTATCGTCGCTCAACAAAACATCGGACTTTTCCAAATTTCATTAGAAACCACAAAAAGCTACTGGATAGCTCTCATTACAAGTTCTATGTGATAAAAGTAGTAGCAGCTAGTTTGAGTACTTAATGACAGTTACAAAAAAAGTAACTTAAAGTAATAATTCTAAATATATATATAGGCTACATGGTGTATACATATATATATATATATATATATATATATATATATATATATATATATATATATATATATATATATATATATATATATATATATATATATATAGAGAGAAATACATATAAAACCATATATAACAGGCCCGGTAATAACAGGGATCCGGTAATAACAGGGATTTTTAAAATCCCCGTTTTTTCCTACTCTTTGTCTCTATTAAAAGTTATCGGCAATAACAGGGCCTCATCGGAGCCCAACCGGTTATAGCAGGGACCAAGGCTCGTCAACTATGAGTAAAAAGTAAGAGAGAGAGAAAGAGAGAGAGAGAGAGTAACGCAGTGATGGAGCAAGCCCACGCAAGCCATGCCACTGCAAGCACACGCAGCGTGTGAAGGGAGAGAGGGCTGCGGTGTGCTGCAGACCTCGATCTGTCCAGAAACCTGGCAACACGCACGCATAATGTGTCACCAACGATGTCAAGCGCGAGAGAAAATGCCTTTCAATTGACAAAAATACGAAATAATCCAGGCTGTTGACAAAAAGCAATCTCCACTGGCAGAGATTTGTCGTCAGTTCGACATTCCACAAGGGTCGATTCACACCATTATCAAGGATAGAGAGAAGATAGTGGCAGCATACTCCAATGAAAAGTTTGCTCTGGATCGAAAAAAGATGAGACTACCCTATGCAGATGCCCTGGACCAAGCTCTTCTGATGTCGTTTAAGGAGGCAAGGAGAAAATTGGTGCCAAAACCTGTGTTCGTGGGTACTTGTGGCAAGGGAAACTACCCATGAATAAGTACAGCTGGATTAGTCCACAAATGCTTACTTTTCTTTGCATTTCTGATTTAACAGGGATCGGATATAACAATAACAGGACATTTTCTCTACTCCCACCATCCCTGTCATATCAGGTTTCCACTGTATATAATATAACATATATTATATATGATGTTCCGCTAAACATCAGCTGAATTTTCAAAGATGCAAAAACAATCAACCAAATAAGCCAGAGAGAGGTGAAGATCTATGCCACTATACCACTGGAAAGCTCATTACAAGTTCTGTGTAATAAGAAATGAATGACAGTACTTGTAACTGTGAAGTACTTTTGATATTAATGACACTAAGTAAGGAGATTGCTACTGATGATGCAGAGTCCACATTAGAGCAGGCAGCTGATATCAACTTGCGTCAGCTGACCAATTTGAGAGTGAGTCTGAGTTAGTTATCTGCCCCAATAATACATCTTGATGTTTTATTTGATCATCTTTTGAATTTAACGAAAGATGCAGTTGAGAGATCAGTCTCAGTATTTTCAGTTGTTACCGTTGGAAGACAATCTATTTAAAAAAAGCTTTCAAGGTATACCTGAAGTGCTGCATGCAATATCCCCTTTAACTTGATTTTTAAATATTTTGTTACATGTACAATGATTTGCAATGCACCTAAAAATATGACAGCCCGACCCTCAAAAGCAAGCAACGTAATGTGTATAGATCTTTTCTAAGAGCCAGAGTGAAAGTAAAAATCTCGAGATCTAGATCTAGATCTAAGTTCCGTATTAAATTTATTTTAACATATTTTCTAGGTTGGGGAGGACAAAGTAGAACTGTCATTATTCATGATTATTGTAACAGAACCCCTTGATGCTTAACGGTAACGCAACAGAGGGTGAACACGTAGAATTTAAAAATAAAGAAGTAGTCTGCAATGCCGTAGTTATAGCCCAAGAATTTTGACAGAACGACATCAGACTAGGCCCAAGCCATACATAATACATTTATGTTTCATATTTTCAAATAAGCTAAAAAGAAGAGTTTAAAAAAAAAGAGTTTTAAAAATATCCAAAAAATAACATAAAATGATTATATTTATATATATAGATCTAGATCTATGCGTATTTTATTATGTATATATACTTAAAAGTAAAAGACTGAGCAGAGGCTTACAATGTAAATTCTGTACTCTACAGGTAGAGAAAGTCTTAAGTTTGCGCAAAACAGATTCTAGAAAAAAAAGTTGGATCTAATTATTCAAATAAAAGTGAAAGTGATTGGTATCGTGAGATTTGTTATTATTAACTCTTGAAATACAGATAGTTGCTGAATCTAAAATTAACTAGAACTGTGCAAGTCGTTTCATTTTCAATTCCAAAGCCCAAAGGCATAGCAATGAGTTAGATCTAGATCTAGCAGTTGTAGGCTCTCTGGCTGCTTCTATCATAGGCCTGCTACTACTGATTCTTGACAGGGAATCTAGATCTAGCTATCACCTGCACTGTTAAAGTCAAATATATGGTAAAATAATAAAAGCAAAACTGTGAATCGCTTTGTCAATCAGTACATCCCAATTGCCATAGCCGCACGTATTAATCACAGTGTTGCCTAAATGAGGTCACCCATATGAATAAAAACACCTTTGGTCAACTTGTTATGAAAAGTAGTTGCATTGAGGTTTTTAAAAAAATAAAATAAAAAAGGAGATAAAGTTGAAAATGTGCGAAACCGGAAGCAACATTACTACTTTCTGTTCCGATGGATAGAGATCTAGATCATTTGGCTGTTCCGTCAGTGTGTATTGACTCCCGTGAAATGACCAGTAGCTTAAGTACTTACTAATACAATTTTTTTC